TTTTTGCTGCATGTGTTTGTGTCCTTTGCATGTACAAAAGTATCATTTGGAAGTAATTCTTTTTTTCTTATTGAAGGCATTTCACTTCTTTGCAATATATAATGACTTTACACTACGAGCAGCCCCTCTTTTTTCTTAGTCCGTCGAGCGTGACGCTAGAGGGCACGAGAAGAAACAGAACGAAAGACACAAATCGAAAAACGCCAGTATCTATTACAGAAAAACACAGTTTTTCTTTCCAAGGTGTCCTATACCGCGAGGCTATTTTCAGTTGAAATTCCCTCTGGATGGGTTGCTAGCCCACCACGGGGTTATCCTTACCATATAATTTGCCCCGACTCACCCGTACATCTGGGTGGAGAAAGGCGCTGCGAGAGTAGGGTCTAAAGTGATGACTTGCTCGATCTGGGTTCAAATGATCTAAGAGAACACATCCTCCATACCTGTGCCTCTCTCAGTGATAATTTTTTCAATCTATGTTTAGCTTGTAGTCATACTGCGCTGGTATTTTAAGGAGGACACCTTATTGGTCAGTTGTGTGGCTTTGTAATAGATATCATTAAAGGAGCTAAGTCACGACATTTTCAGTTATTTTGGCCACGTACTAAATTACCTTTAAATCGAAGGAAAACTTGAAAATAGTAGTTTACTAAGATAGAAAAACACCAAGGGGATGATAACATAACATGAAAGAACAAGAATGGTTATGGATGGAGAAAATTAACACGGATTATACGAACGACGAACTTTAAAAGTTTAGGCTATGCCCGAACTGTTGTGGAGCTTCTTTGAAAGAGGGTCATCTGGATCTTCTCTTGGTACAATAAATTAAGCCACCGCGCTTATAGCAATTATCTTTTTTTTCCTCACTGAAACCTGTTCATTTGAAATTCTTTTTTCAGGTTGGTTTAGCTGTGGGTGACATTGATGCTATTCGCCAGAATGCTACGCTTAAGAGGTTGGCTATGCAAGTCGAGTTTGTAGCTGAGGTAGAAGATAGATACCCAAGAGTCGTCACGCGGCGAGTTTACCAGCCAACACTGATTTTCAGGCCTAACTGTCCAACTCGATGGTGGAGGTATGAATGCATAATGCTGTTATTTAGTATGGTTTAAGCTTGGACTAGAAAGCATGAAAAGGTTCACTTATTAGAGTTTCAATAAGGATTGTTTGTTAGTGATGACTGGGGTGGTAGTGAGTCCGACGGGTACGGAATAAACAAGGCGATCGACTTTCCTGAAAGTCTAACAGAATGTAAACAGAAACAGTTAAAGAGCAAAATTCAAAAGTTACATTATTTGTACCTGCAGGTTGATAGGTCTCCTTGGAATGAAGAACCTCTTCGCCCTTAACTCTGGACTTCCCACTGAAGAAGAACAGTCCAATTTATCAGAGTACGCCGAGATTAGAAAACAACTCGTCAAAACTAAGAAGCGCTTCAAAAGGCTGGTGAATGTGCTTGAGGCTCAGAATACAGTGTTACGAAGATTAGCCAGAAAAATTGATCCCGAGGCCGAAATAGACGACGGAAACCTGGGCACGACTATGATGGAGGAACAGAAAGCTTTGGCTCAAGACTTCCTTTATGACCCGCGAGATGAGCAGTCGCCAGTGGAGGCCTCTATGGACAGGCCATATAAAACTTACGTTTAATCCTATTTAACGAAGTATTGGAGTGCTTCTAAATGTTTTTAGTATAAAGCTACAAGCGTTCTATCGCGAATGCCGTCTATTGATTGGCTACGCTACTCACTACCTATATTCTGTGATAGATAGTGAGTAGCGTAGCACTGTGCCCTTGATAACAAAATGACGGCCGCTTCTTGGCGTTTTCGAAGTGTCTGTGAAGAGGATTTAGATTAAGTATTGAACGACTAGTAATGGTAATAGGACTGAGTGGAGTCCAGTTTGGTCGGTTATCATAAGAGTGATAACAAAATCGATTTGTTTATCACGAGTATGATTACAGACCGAATTGGACGACACGAAGTCTTATTACCAATCAATCATAAAAATTACAATTTCCCACAAAAGAAGAATAGCCAAGTTATGATAGAAAGAGAAAATTTGCATTAAAATACCTACAAAGGAGATGTAAACATTCTAAGGCCAATGCGCCTCTTACCGGCAATTAGGCGCCAGAAACACAAGAGCGCATGCACGCACGCACGTAAGACAACTTTCAATGTGATTGGTTGATTTAAACCACAACTTTGAATGTGATTGGCTTATTAGACTGTCCGATAACAAACTGTCCATAACAAATTGTCCGATAACAACTTGGCAATTGAATTAGTGGAAAATAGCAGTTTTTCAAACCAATCACAATCGAGGAAATTGTAATTTTTATGATTAGTATATTTATGCTAAGACAATTAGATTATTCGCTCTCGATTTCTATGCTTGATAGTTGACGAAGGCTCTGCCCTCGTCAACTATCACGCGATAGAAATCTCGAGCTCATATTTTAAAATTGTTTTAATATGAGATATGACGTGACCTACCGGAATATAACGTCACTATTGCTGACAAATTTTACCAACGTAGATCTCCATTTTTGATGCTTTCGACGTCGGAAAGTAACGTGAATACAAATTACCAAACGGAATTATCGCGCTCAAATTCCACGTGACTCTCTCAACAAAGATTTGAGTTGAGGAAGGAGGTAACCATGTCATTTCAGGCAATGTAGTTTTTGTATTTCCGTCAAGTAAAACGCTGAAATTTTCAGACGTGTATTTGCCACCATTCACTCCGTCAATAAGCACACATTACAAGCAAGCATAATGAATTACGTGTAAAAAAAGGCACGTTGGATTCATATATACAACTTACTTTTTGCATAATTTGTGTTTCATGTGCGGAGCCTGTCGACCTAACTTAATGGAAGATGTAAAGAACTAACATTATGTATTTAGCAGTGCGATGACTTTGCAATAATCCAGCTAGTGACAGAGGGGGAAACTAAACCGAGACCTCAGGATTACCACAATCCTTTCGCTTATTTATCTCATCTCCCTCGAGCGACGAAGAAGCGAAACCAACAGGCTAGGAAAGAATTATTGGAAAGGACTTTTAGAAAGTCTAATGAAAGGCGATTGGATGTTAAAACGCTCTGTTTTTCGTCAAAATTCTTTAACGAAAAACAGCAATTTCACCAACCGCACGGGCAACACAACACGCCTTAACTCTTTATATTCCTGGATTCTAAGTAATTTTTCACTGACGGCTTGTTAACGGTTTAATTTCCTCCGAAAAAAAAAATCGAATTGTAGTTAGGTCTAATTAGGCCGAAAAACGTTACCTGTCCACGCCAGGTATGACAACAGTTTTACTCAAGCTTTTGGCGTACTCTTGACAATCACTAACTTACCCCCTGCTGGTCTGTCTGTGTTTCCCCAAGTAGACTACCACTGGGAACAAAAATGTCATCACCGACAATTTGCCGATTGGATCCGACTGAAGCCGAGTGCAATTTAGCGAAAAATCCGGACAGACAACAAAAGCTTTATTGTCTCAAAAAATCCTAACCATAACAATAGGTAAAGTTTGATATGCGAAAGCTGTTCGTCGGACCACTTTGATAACCAAGAATTGACGTCAGAATACAGATCAAAAGTTTGTAACTGTTTGTTTTGTTAAAAGCAATTAGAATTTCATGGGGAGATGTCTTAACTTAAATTAAGTGAATAGCTAGAGACAATCAAACTTTAGAAAACGACTTGAACCAAAAACGTTATGATAAAGTTTACATCAGTATTAGCCTTGAGAACAATGCTCGCTATCATGTAAGCTTAAACTTAAGTTTTTAAGTTTTCATTTTTGAAATAATTGTTACCAATAATATTGTATTTTATCCGTGTCGCGAAGTGAAGAATATGTATGTATGCGCTTAGCACTAAATGTGTACAAATAACTTATAAGTGATCTTTAGTTACTTAAAGGCTATGTTCACATTTGGTGCCTGAGCATAGCACCCAAAGTACGATCCTCGCGCGCTG